ACTTGGCCTGGGGTTGGCAGGCCCCGGGGCCCTCCTGGCTGGTACACTTGTGCTGCCCAGAGCTACAGGGCTTCACAGGGTCCACGGGGGACGTTGCCGCCAGGAAAGCGGCCAGGGTGGCCGGGAGGGAGACCCACGGTGAGCGAAGGCTGGGAGGGCCCGGGCTGCCCGCTGGCCTGTCCCGCTGGCCCTGGCACCAGATAAAAATAGCGCCTGGTCTCAGAGAACAGGAGCTGACCCCAGGCCACAGGTCTGGTTTGGGCTGTCCCTGTCCTCAGCTCAGCGCTGTGTGACCTCGGATGAGCCCTGCCCTCTCTGGGGCCTCGAGAGCCTCGTGGGGTTCCCAGGCAGGCCCACGCTGCATCTCCCAGGGCGAACCGGCCATGTGACAAGCACCCAAGGCAGAGGGCAGCGGAGGGTGGCTGGTTCGGGCACCGGAGGCCCCGTCAGGCCGAAGCCCACAGGGTCAGGAGGGTGAGCACCTGCCTTCCCGTGCTCTCCCAGCCGGCAGCCCGCGGCTGCCCAGACGGCTCCATGGCAGCCAAGGCCCCGGAGGAGCTGGACCGAGGCCTGGGCAGCTGCAGGGCCGAAGAGGCCCCCGCTCTGGCAGAGCCTTGCCCAGGACGGGCCCAGGAGGACGGGCTGCAGGTATGGCGGAACGGAACTGCCCGCGTGGCCGCGCCAGGCCGCTCACCTGCGGGACCTGGGCTCTGTTCCCCTGGGTGGGCTGAAACCGAGCTGGCGCCCCACTCCCCCACCCCACTTCTGCTCTGGGGGTCTGTAAGGAGCCCCGAAGAACACACGTGGGGTGCCACACTGGCCTGGGTTCGAATTCCGGATCGCCACTGAGGTACAGTGTGCCTTTGAGCAAAGCCGTCTGACTCTCCGCTCTCTTTCCATGTATTTATTTATTTTTGAGAGGCTTTTGCTCTAGGGCGCGTGCACTTGCCAGAGAGACAGGGAAACAGAAAGCGAGAAATCACCCCCCAGGGGGGATGGCCACGCCGCAATCCCTTCTCCTCCATTCTCCTCTCGGGATCTTGGGCACGCACGCACACGCGCCCGGCGTGAGTTTAAGCCACCGGGTCTGGGACGTGAACTGCAGTCGACTACGTGGGAGTCCAGCGACATAGCCATTACACTAACTGCTGGTCCCCTTAAATTTTTAATTGATTTTTAGGAAGGTTTTTGCTATAGGGCATGTGTGCTTGCTGGAGAAACAGAAAGGAAGAAATTACTCCAGGGGATGGCCACACCACAATCCCTTCTCCACACCTGGTGTGTTCTAAGCCACCAGGTCTGGGACTTGAACCGTGGTCGACTATGTGGGAGTCCATCGATATAACTGTTTTACCATCTGCTGGTCCGTTTATTTCTTTTTAAATAATTATTTAATTGATTTTTATTGTTATTTTAATTTGCTATATGGCACAAGTGCGCGTGAGAGAGAGAGAGAGAGAGAAAGAGCGCGCACGCGAGTCCCCAGGGCTGGGACTTGAACTGTGGAGGATGTGAGTCCGGCACCTAACCCCCAGGCCGCTGGCCCCAGCGCTATTTTCTGTAAGATGAGGCCGGTTCGCAGGCAGAGCAGGGAGTGGGCTGGGGCCTGGTCGGGGTCCCACCATCTCCACTCTCTGTCCCCACCCGCAGTGTGGCCCAGGCTGGCTGATTGTACCACCTGGCCCCACGTAAGTCGCTGGGGCCCTGGGGTTCCCACGGACGCCCAGGCCGGGCACTGCTGGGCGAGGGGCGGGTTCCTCAGGCCCAGGGGGAGGGCTCCGTCCTTGGGGGAAAGCCCGGAGGGCCCCCAGAATGCCTCCTGCCCACCCCCCAGGCCTCTCGGGAGCCCGCGGCTGAAGGCGGCCCAGCCAGCGGTGTGGACGCCAGCCCCAAGAAGATGGACAAGGAGCCTGGGGCCAAGGGAGCCCCGGGGCCGGGGAAGGAGCGGCTGAGAGTTGGCGCAAGTGGGTCTGCGGGGGGCGTGGGCAGGGGTGGGCCCCGCTCGGCCGGCGCGGGGGGCGCGGCGG